TGTGATGTGAATGACTTATCAGACATAAAATGGTGATTAAAGAAAGCTATAAGCATCACTAGTTAATTAATGGGACAAGGATAGTAGAATTGCACTAATAGAAATAGACTACTCAATAATGAGAAAGAGAAACCACCTTTTCTTTCAAATGAAGCAATTCTTCCTTCATTGGAAAATTAAGAAAGGAATTATCAAGAGAGGGGTCTTCCCAACTAATTAAATTGTCTTTGTAATAGAAAATGGTCTTGATTGAGATACTTAACTTTGGGGTAACTTATGAAGTAGAACGTTAAATGAGGAAAAAAGATGATTGCTTTAGTTTTGTTCTATACGTGACCTTGGAATTATATCAGAAATTAAGTCATGAGTACCAATTCCTAGATGTGTAGCCTGTTGTATGATCTGAAATCAATTTCTTGCAGCAAATTTTTGTATTCTTGACATTTTTAAATGCAGAATAAAATTAAATGAATCAATCTCAAAAGAAAAACTACTTGTCCCATAACTTACTGACATTGAGGTTTCATTATGAAATGAAATTTTACTTCATGCTTTGATACTCTTAAAGAATATAGTACATTGTTAGCTTTTGTTTGTAGGCATTTTTCAGGATATAGTGTTTATATCTCAAAGGAAAATGAGTAGAAACCTCTATAGATGTCTGGGTCAGTCATAATGAAGATTGGAGCTATTCTACATTAAGCTTACAATTTTGTACTTTTTATATTTCTTTATATAAAGAAATATGTGCTAGGTTTACTTCACTAGGAATATTTCAGTGAAATATTTGTGCCTTTATTTTTTTCTTGGTTTGTTTTTGAAGCATTCTTGGACTATAAACCCTGTAATAGAACTGAGTACTGCTGTCCTTTCAAAATAACAATATTCAGTATAATGGATAGAATTTTCTTTCTTTCTTTCTTTTTATTTTAGTTCAGCCATCAGCAAACATTGGGAGGCTGAACTGGCTACCCTCAAAGGAAATAATGCCAAACTCACTGCAGCCCTGTTGGAGTCCACTGCCAACGTGAAACAATGGAAACAGCAGCTTGCTGCATATCAAGAGGAAGCAGAACGTCTGCACAAGCGAGTATGTTCAGGGCTGCTGTCCATAGGAATTTACGGCTAACAGGTTTCCTTATTCAGAAGAAATTTGCATATAGATTCAGCACAGGGACATCTTCAGGGAATATTCATTGGTTGTCAGAACATAGGGGTTGTATTATGTGGCTGTTTAGTAAAAACTATTTTCCAGTTTATGGAAATGAAGATTATATACCTTTCTGAGTCAAAAAGATCTGATTTTGAATTCTGATTCTTCCCCTGTTAGCTGTATGACATTTGTAAGTTATTTCCTTCTTTGAACTCAGTATTTTCGTCTATAAGCTGGGAATAATGCCATATTTTTATGTAAATGACATGTGTGTTATATGGCTTGTTTTTTGTTCTTTTTTTCAAACTGCCCAACTCCCTCGCACATTTGCTTCCTCTGTATGTTACATGTATGCACACGTTATTTCTATGGGTGCATTATTTTCAACAAAAACACTGTACATTATACGATTAAAAAAATTAGATGAGATAATTGATTGGCATGTAGTTGCATGGAGTCAGTAGTTGCTTTTATTCTTTTTATTATTGTTTTGTCAAAAAAGAACATAATTTTAAAAATGCAGGTAGAAACAGGAAATCAGAAATTTTAATGTACTCACATATTTCTAATTTTCAGCACTCTTCTTCCATTCCTGTAGATCTGAATTTCCATCAGATATCACTTCCTTTTCTGACTGAATAGCTTCCTGTAGCATTTTTTGAACTGCAGGTATACTAGCTACAAATTTTCTCAGCTTTTATATATCTAAAATGTCTTAATTTTACGTTCATTTTTTTTGAAAGATATTTTTGCTGCATATAGAACTGTAGGCTGACTGTTTTTTGTGTTTTTTTTTTTTTTCCCCCTCTTGCAGTCTTTAAAGATATCATTCCATTGTCTTCTGGTCTCCATTGTTTATGCTAAGAATAGTCTTCCTATTTTTTCTCTAAATATAATGTATCTATTTTCTATGGCTGTTGTGATTTTTTTTCCTTTGTCAAATTGTTTCCAGCAATTTAACTAGGAGTGTGGTGCCTCTGTATGGTTTTCTTTGTGTTTATGCTGCTAGAGGTTCACTGAGCTTGCTAAAACCTGTGAGTTGTTTTTTTTTTCCTTCCCTTTTACTCATAGTTGGAAAAATTTTATCCAGTATTTTGGCCAGTGTTTTTCCTACTCCATTATCTCTCACTTCTCTTTCTGGGATCTAATACAGTATTAGACCACTTGATACTGTTGTTAATATTGTTCATTTTGTTTTCTGTCTTTGCTCACTATGTGCAGTGATTTCCATCGGCCTGTCTTTAAGTTCACCAATCTTTTATTCTGTTGTGTTCAATATGTTGTTGATCCTATTGAATTACTTTTTATGATTTTCAGATATTATATTTTGCTATTCTAGAATTTTCTTTGGTTTTTTTTTTTTAGCTGTCTATATTTCTCATGAAATTTGTTCACTCATTTTCCTGTTGACTCTTCAGTGTTTATTTTAGTTATTTAATTTTTTTTTTTCTAATTCCAGGGTCTCATCTTTTGTGAGTCTGTTCCTATAGACTGCTTTTTGTCTTGACTAGATATTTAATTTTCCTGTTTCTTCATGTCTATTAATTTTTGATTACATATTAGACATTGTAGATGAGTTGTAGAGATTATAGATTCTGTTATCTTTCTCTGAATAGTGTTGAGTTTTGTTTCAGCAAGCAATTATATTATTTATGAATTACCTTGAATTTGTAGAGGTAGGGGCTTATACTTCATTAGAATTGGTTCATTTTAATGTTGCCCTTAGTCCTAGAGTGAAATCTCTTAGTCCTAGGAAATCTTTCTCTCTAAGGACTTTATCTTCTGGGAGTTCAGTGGGAAGCTTGAGATGTTTACCAAGATTCTCTACTTTGGCAGGACTCAAACTTCTGTCTTCTCTGTGGTAAGCATAGCTTAGCTTTTCAACTTTTCCCCATCCCATTGGATTCCTTGAGTTCTCACTGTGCATATTCAGTTAAGGAGTCAGCTAAAGATTTGAGTGGAGTCTACATGTATTTTAGGGCTTTCCATTTATACAATTCCTTCAATTTCCAGTGTCTCAGCTATTCTGATTGGTCCTAAAATCCTCAGGCTTTATAGTGTAATATGACTGTGTGTCTCCACTTAACTTCAAGCCAAGCAGCACACAGACTAGGCAGTGCCTTCTATGAAAAGAAGTGTAACTCTGTATTTCGTTCAATATGATGGCTTCCTTTCAGCTTATTGCCTGATTGGGCCACTCACCAGGACCTTCAAACGGTGGATTTTACACTTTGTCCAGCATTTGCAGTTGTTATCTGTGTGGGAAGGTAGGTCTAAAAAAAAAATACTCCATTGTTATTAGAACTAGAACCCCTACAAGGGATTTATAGTCTTTGTGGACAAAGAAAACTAGTATGTATTAAGCAATAAGAAAATAATTCCCAAGAGATTTGAGCACATATTCAGTTTTGTGGACCAAAGGATAGGAGAAACTTAAGGGCTTTAAGGAGTGGCTTTCTGGAGAAATTGTGTGCTGAGCTGAGTTTTGCATGCTTAGGTAAGATCTGATCATCTTCAGAATTGAGACAACATTCTAGTTAAGTCCTCAAGATGAATGTGAACATGGTTTGTCCTTAGAAGGAGACTTGCCTGCTTTTAGTTTGAAGTCCACATTGGATGTTTTTGGAAATAAGTCTGGTTAAATAGGGTAGGCCAATTTATGGAGGACCTGAGGGTTTAGATTTGAGTGGGGGAGTTACACAATGAAAGTTGAATATGTTTGCGGAATAAATACAAGTAGGCAAAGGTTATAATTAAATCTACTGGGAGACCATTGCTTTTGTTTAGGCCTATGTAATGAGAGTCTGTGCAAGGCTAGTAGTACAGGAATGAAAGGGAAAAAGTGGTAGAGGTAGAAGACAGTAATCAGATTTGGAAAATATGGAAAGGTTTCCTCTGATTAATAGACTAGCATTTACTATATATAGCCTAGTCCACCACAACATACTAAGAGCCTGATATGTGCAAAGAGCAGTGTTAAGGTGTGTATGTGTGTGTATGCACGCGTATGAATGTGTTTATGTTGACTTTTGTCTATGTTGCCCCTGTTTTTGGATGATAGGACTTTCAGGGACAATGCTTTTCTCTCTTCTGTCACACACACAAAAAAAATATATATTAGGTGCTCATTAGAAGTTATTACATTGTTCTTTGGGCCCACAATAACTCAATAACTTCTTAGTGACTAAATAAATGTTACCTTGCACCATAAGAGACATACTAATGTGAAGTCATTCCAATATAGGACAAATTAAGTTGTATTTTAAGCATTGTTTCTTCCAGAGTCTTTTACACTTTTTCATTGTATTTGAAAAAATTTACAGTTCTGCAAGGCAAGTTTTTAGAAACCACATTTAATTTGAAGGCTATGGACAGAGGAACAGATAACTATATCTTTTTTTTAAAGAGGTTTTCAGAGAAAACTTTTAAAGCAAACCTTCTTTATACACATTTTCTACTGTCATTAATCACTTAATTTAAGCTTTCCTAACCTTTCCATTACTAAGTCATGTAAGTAATTATTTCCTTTGATTTTTTTTCTTTAAGTTTATCTCTTTAAAGAATCTATTTATTCTTTCTGTCTTAATATTTCTTAATGTCTTAATATTTCTCAAAATTAATTGAGTTTATTATGTCTTAAGCAAGAAGTCCTTCTATCTTAGTTACCTAGTCCTGCCATGACACAAATAATCATAGAAGGGTAGCTTTAAAGAACAGAAATTTGTATTCTCACAATTCAGGAGGCTGCAAGTCTGAATTCAGGGCATTGCTCTAGAGGGTGGTCCTTCCTTGTCTACTCGCATCTGGTAACCCCTGACATTCTTGGAGTTCCTGGGCTTGTAGATGCGTCTGTCTTCATCATCTGCCTTCCTCTCCTCTGTATATTTATTTTTTTTTTTTTTTTTTATAATGAAGGATTGATGAGATTTAGTACCCACTCTGCTTGGGTGTGATCTTATTAATATAATTAAGAAAATCCAATTTCCAAGAGGATTATATCTATAGCTATTGAAGTTAGGATTCTGAATATATTTGGAGGAGGGGGACAGAATTTAATCCATAACATCTTTGAAACTGTCATTTAATTTAATTTGTTTTCTCATTTAATTTTAGGTGACTGAGCTTGAATGTGTTAGTAGCCAAGCAAATGCAGTGCATACTCATAAGACAGAATTGAATCAGACAATACAAGAATTGGAAGAGACACTGAAAGTGAAGGAAGAGGTATTTGCTGCTTTTTACTAATCTATAATCTACATAATGTAGGGTCTATGTCACATTTAAAGATAGATACTTATGGAAAAGTTGTGTGATTTTTAAGGATGAAATTTTCCTTGAGTGATATTAAGTGTTCATATTGACCTCATCCTTATTTTTGTTGTTACAAACTATGGTGATGATGAAATCAGGCTGAGACACTACCTATGTTGCCTTTATTTAAGAGCTGAATTTGTATGATCAGCCTCAAACCATTAGAGGTTAAATGCGTTTTACAAGCTGTTACTTTCTCTGATTTCCATTCAAAAGATTGAATATCCCAAGAGAGAATTATATCCACAAAGCTTGAAGCAATCTTAAAATGTCACTGAGTTCAGATTGTTGTTTCTGAGTAATGCTATACCCAAACTACCAAGTTAGACTTGCTTATTCCTTAAGATTATACTGAATTAGACAATACACTGATGAAGATGATTATTGGATGAATTCATCCTTCTTAAAGTCAAAATATATGGCTTTTAAAATCATCCTCTTTTCCATAGGACTGGGACAGAAGTTTCAGGGAAACATAAGGCCTTCCCTTTCCTTGATGTAGTTTAAATGTTGTTATTAATGACAGTATTCTGCCTTTTCTAGGAAATAGAAAGACTAAAACAGGAAATTGATAATGCCAGAGAACTACAAGAACAAAGGGACTCTTTGACTCAGAAACTACAGGTGAGCTATAACACATTTTTATTAATTTCTGCATAGAGAGGCATCAATCAAATCTTTCACATAGTAATGAGTTTTTTTCTGTAATTCCATTTTGTAGGTTCTTTGTCATTTTGCTTTTCCAAGACTTCTGATTCATGCTTAATCTTTGATATTTCAAAAGGTACTTGATAACTTCATCTGGATGATTTATAATCATCATAGATGGTCATTTGTAAGGGGACTTAAGTAAATTATTTTGAAAACTTCTGTTCTCAGCATAAAAATATCCCAGATTTAGAGAAAAATCCTCACATGGATCTCATTCAGTCTGTGACCTACACTCATTTGTTCTTTCCCACATTGAGAAGGTATCAGTTATAGCAATGTAATAGAATCCTAATAGCAATCCTAATAGAAGGAGCACAAATTAATGCTCATTTTCTTTCTTTAGTCTGATTAATATTACTCACTTTTTTCTGCATAAATAGCATG